TGTGTTGGTTCTATCAGTGTGTTGGTTCTACCAGTGTTCCACCAGTGTGTTGGTTCTATCAGTGCGTTGGTTCTATCAGTGCATTGGTTCTATCAGTGTGTTGGTTCTATCAGTGTGTTGGTTCTATCAGTGTGTTGGTTCTATCAGTGCGTTGGTTCTATCAGTGCATTGGTTCTATCAGTGTGTTGGTTCTATCAGTGCGTTGGTTCTATCAGTGTGTTTGTTCTACCAGTGTTCTTCCAGTGTGTTGGTTCTACCAGTGTGTTGGTTCTACCAGTGTTCCACCAGTGTGTTGGTTCTATCAGTGTGTTGGCTCTATCAGTGTGTTGGTTCTATCATTGTGTTTGTTCTACCAGTGTTCTACCAGTGTGTTGGTTCTACCAGTGTGTTGGTTCTACCAGTGTTCTACCAGTGTGTTGGTTCTATCAGTGCGTTGGTTCTATCAGTGCGTTGGTTCTATCAGTGCGTTGGTTCTATCAGTGTGTTGGTTCTATCAGTGCGTTGGTTCTATCAGTGCGTTGGTTCTACCAGTGTTCAGTCTTCTTGTTCAGGTGTGACTATGGAGGTCTTAAAAGACGGGGCCCAAGTTTCTGTCCTCCACCACCGACTACAGTTAATGAGAAACTTTTCAGAGTTTAAGGTAACTCTTGGCCCCCCTGTGTGTCAGACTCTTCTCTGTCCTGTGCTTTTTGTTCATTCCTCTCTGCTGCTGCTGGGCCACAAGGTCAGAGGTCACAGAAAGGGAGACACTGGGGGGGGGCTCACCTCTCTGTGTGCAGGCTGTGGAGTTAGGCAACAACAGGGGTGGGGGTGGGGGGTCCCATAAATCTGCCTGAGCTGGTTTGCGAGAGTTTGAAGGACAGACTTTCACAGACCCCCCCCCCCCCCCCCCCCCCCAGCCTGTACAGAGGAGCTGTTGTCAGGCTTCACCTCCTCCTCCACCTTCTGCTTCTGTCCATCCTCTGAATCTCCTGCTCTGGGCCACACAGCCCTGTGATCTCCTCATGGAATGGAGAATGTATGGAGGATGGGGGGGGGGGTATGAAACCACAAACACTGCACCGTGGTGGCAGTTGTCATGGTGACCGAGGTGGATGCCAATACTCCTCTTCCCCTGGCCGCTGAGATTCAGACTGCTGGGCTGAACTGAAGAGAATCTTTAAATCTAAATCTGAGGAGCTGAAACATGATGAAGCTGAAACATGATGAAGCTGAAACATGAAGCTGAAACATGAAGCTGAAACATGAAGCTGAAACATGAAGCTGAAACATGATGAAACAGACACCTTGACTCTGAGACTGATTCATTCAGTTCAGCCCAACATTGTGAAAAGGGACTAGCAACCTTTCTGGCTGATTTCAAGCTGTTTTCTTCCTGATATAAACAGATGGAAAATGATGGTGTTAGTCAGAGGAAACAGGTGCTCACATGAACATAATCACATGCCATACACAGAGAAGAATAGCCCCCCCCCCATACCCACTTGTGGCCCAGAGAATGGGCTCCCCAGCTGGGCATGGTGTATTTTACACAAACGAGTGTTTTGAGTGCAGGAGGCATTGATCTGAGGATATGACTGTTCACTGCGACAATGAGCCGATCGGCCTCCATGATGGAGATAAATGAGTTGACACAGATTAGAGCACAAACACAGAGAGGGGTCATTACAGGAGGTTTAGAGCAGCTGTGTTGGAGGGCGGGATCACAGAGAATAGCCCTGTGGAGAAATTGGGTCCCTGGGCACAAACAGAAAAGCCCCCCCACCCTTCCTATGTGGGACCCCCACACTGAGAGGAAGTGGTTGTGATGTTTGTGTCTCTGATCAAGATCGACGACTTTGAAACAAGACATGTTCACATTTATAGAAAAACTTTCTGCACCTTCACAAAGAAGTGAAAGATTCTCTGAAAATGTAAGAACAGAAAATTTATTTAATGTGTAAAAAGTGACATGTTGAACAAATGTCAATAAAAAGCCAATGTTGATTGTCAGCACAAGTTTTGTAAAATAAATACTCTCTTTCACTTTCTCTGTCAGTGCAGGAAGTTTCTCTATGAATGGAACTGTTGGTTTTGGCCACAGGAAGTTAATAAATATTAACAATCACTGTAAAACAGCGACCTCTCAGGCCTATGGGACCTGGTAGATCAGTTTTGGTTTGGCAGGCCCACATCAGGCCCACGTCAGGTCCACATCAGGTCCACATCAGGCCCACATTAGGCCCTCATCAGGTCCACATCAGGCCCTCATCAGGCCCACATCAGGCCCTCATCAGGCCCACATCAGGCCCTCATCAGGTCCACATCAGGGCCACATCAGGCCCTCATCAGGCCCACATCAGATCCCTCATCAGGCCCACATCAGGCCCTCATCAGGCCCACATCAAGCCCTCATCAGGCCCTCATCAGGTCCACATCAGGTCCACATCAGGCCCACATCAGATCCCTCATCAGGCCCACATCAGGTCCACATCAGGTCCACTACAGGCCCACATCAGGTCTGTGTGAGTGGAAACTTTTAGAAATGACAGACAGCAGCCTGACGAAAACCTCCTTTCTACTGTTTCTCTGTGCGGATGATACAGATCTGAGACGAGCCATGAGCAGCAGAGGTGTGAGGAGCGTGCTGCAGAGAGAGGAAGACAGTGGGTGTTTCTGTCACTTCAGTCAGAAACTGAACTGTGTACGGACGTGACATCTCATCTATCATCTGCTCTGTCTTCACTTCATGTCGGGGTGAGCACTAAAAATAACCTTTAAAAATATCTGTACGTCTTTAGGAAAGAATATAAGAGTCACATGATTTTATTATAAATCATAATGTTTTCTTGGGGAACTTTCACATGTGATTTTATGAACTATTTTCAGCTTCTCTCCTGAGCATCAGTGGTGATCAAACATTAAATTTATGCTGCTAGTTCTGTGTTTGGCTTTCTGATAAATAAACAGTGGAACAAACCACAGCCTCAGAGTGAATGACAACAGTCAGGATGTTTTAGGTCTGTGGGAATGACTCCTTCATTTATTTAAACTTCATACTTTTACTACAGTTTTATGAGACAACATCCAGATAAAGATTATTTATTAAATGCATGATCAGCTAATGAAATGTGGTTTAAACAGCTCAGTAGAATATCAGGTAGTTTGACACAGTACCACCACCTAACACCTAACCTACTAACCACCACCCACCAGCTACAGCTCAGTGTTAAACTTCTCTTCTGATGAACTTTAACTGTTATATTTGACTTCTTTTCATCATTCATTAAATTTCAGTCTAAGGAGAATCTGTGTCACAATTTTAGTCTTTTAAAATACAATGCTTCCCTCCTTACCGGCATCTTTTCACCCAAGGTCTCAACCAGAGTCAGTCCTGAATGAGGTTCTAACTGAAGCTGTAGTTACTGGCTTGTGTCACCTGAGCTCTGCAGTTGAGGAGCTGGAGGAAAGTGCCTTTTATCTTATTTTAAGTGTTTATTTATTCATAGAGGAGCAGGATGAAGATGTCACAGGAGGCAGGTAAAGAAGCTGTGTTTCAATTTTCTTTTGAACCAAGAGAAACATTTAATAATCTCACTTCCTTCAACCTCATTGTAAATTCTCAGAAAAACAACCAACACTTTTTTTTCTCCATCACATGAAGCAGCAAGAACTTCCTGATCTGTAACCAGAGAAAACCACATTTAGAAAGAAATATTAAAGTACATCTAGTAACCCATTATTTTTTTGATATAATCTACAAAATATATTTACTTTATTGAGACATGTCTATCAGATATAAAGCACACAACCAACAATATGTCTGTATACAACACGCAGGGGGACCAACATGATGAGAAAATAATCATATAGAACATTAATGTCTTTGTAGTGTGATGTAAGTTTTTGTAAATAGTGAGCAGTTGGATAATGAAATATTTTAAAGGGATCTTTGACTTAACCATTATATAGTGGGTAGCTGGTAAGCTAGCAGAGCCATATCTTAGCAGGAGGTAGATGTTTGAATTTCAGCTTAAAAACTTTTTTTGACTTTAATTGTCAACTTGGTTTTTTATTTAAACCCTTTAAAAAGTGAAACAATATCTGAAGCATTAAAGGAGCTATTTATAAGTTTTGTTATCACTACATAGCTAACATTAGCATTAACAGCTTTTTACTGACCAGTCTAGAAGAAACGTGGGTTCAGCATCAAAGTTCATTCCTTTACTCACCAACATCTGTCTCCAGAGGTGGAAACAAGCACCAACGTTAACTCTTGTCTTTATTACTGAAGTTAGCATGCTAACCAGCTAGTCGGCACGTCTCTTCTTTGTGATAGCGACTCACTGTAGCCTCCAATCTGTCCCGAAGACTTAGCTGCTCACAGGACGTATTATAACCTACACCTCTTACACAGCAGCAAGACATCCAGACTGAAGAGACTTTATAGTCATTGTGTGTCTTCGACGGTTGAGTCTTGTGGTTGTTTTGCATCTTTCCGGAGTTGCTTTGTGTGTGTTGGTGGCCGTCTTGTGTCTCTTTGTGGTTGTTTTGTCTCTTTGTAGTTGTTTTATGTCTGTTTGTAGTTGTTTTGTCTCTTTGTGGTTGTTTTGTGTCTTTATAGTTGTTTTGTCTCTTTGTAGTTGTTTTGTGTCTTTATAGTTGTTTTGTCTCTTTGTAGTTGTTTTGTCTCTTTGTGGTTGTTTTTTCTCTTTGTGGTTGTTTTGTCTCTTTGTGGTTGTTTTGTCTCTTTGTTGTTGTGAGTTATGATATAAATGAATACTAACTCTCATCAGTATCAGTTAGTGACAGAATCACTGCTTTATTTTATGTGAATATAAACATATATACACGATTTCATCTACTATTGTAGCTAGGCAATGACGTCACTTTTGCAACAGAGGAGGGAGGGAGTGAAGGAGGAGTGGGTGGGGACAGGGGGTTTCTATAGACCAATCAGAGAGGTGCATCTAAATGAGTTGCAGACGGTGACGGTGGAGAGCAGCAGTTAGGAGCGGAGAGCAGAGAGCAGCGGTCCTGTTTAGACTGTTTCTTACTGCCTGTTCCTGTGTTTGTCTGGATGGCTAGTTAACGCTGCTTAACGCTGGTTAAAGCTCAGAACCAGTCCCCCAGTTACTCTTCAGATGTTTCGCTCTTTGCTGCGATAAAACGGATATTTGTCACTTTGACCGGAGCCTCAGAGAAAAGCTGCGACATGAAGTACAAAGTAAGTGAAGCGTCGAGTCAGAGTTTGTGTTCAGATGTCTCGTGGAAGAATGACACGAGCTGAAACTTCTCCTCTTTGTGTTTATGGCGGTTTTTACCTGATTTCAATGGACGGTTTAACAGTTTAATTTAAACCGGTTTAAAAAGGAGACACTTAAGTTTTCAGAGGCGGGAAGAGAAAAGATGTCGTCACGTTTCGAGATGATGTTTGAAGTTGATGTGTGAATGTATCGTGTGTGTGTGTGTGTGTGTGTGTGTGTGTGTGTGTGTGTGTGTGTGTGTGTGTGTTGTTAAATCACAGGGGCGTAAACAGAGGAAAAATGCTACCAACCCCCCCCCCCCAAAAAACAAGTCATTTTCTCTATAAAATAATAATGAAAAAAAGTCTCTGTTACAGTGTCCCCACAGGCAGGAGTGACGTCAGATGTTTAGCTCACTGTCACATGACAAAAACATGAAATCTGAACTTTGAAGCTGGAACCAGAAAATATTTCGTTTTTATACTTAAAAATGTGTTTGTGTTTTTCTGAAGCGAAATTAAACCTGGAAGATCAAAATGTTCAGACTTAATTATTGATTAATCCAGTATATGTTTCTTAGTCATTGATTGATGGATTAGTTGTTAATCGATCTGAAAATTTGAAAATGTCTGATTTTGTTTGACCAACAGAACAAAACACAAAGATTCACTTTATTAGAGAAAAGTGTCTAAACAATAAATTGATTATCAACCGATACTTCTGTTGATCAACTTATTGATTGATTATTGCAGCTCTGGTCACCTGTTGTTTACTTTATGAAAGAATTAAATTAAACATAATATAAACTTATCGTCATATTTCCACTTGTATCTGGGGCATTTGACTGTCACTTATAAATGAATCATATCACTGAACTCATTGATCTGGTCTTGATTGGACTAATGGAGGTCTCTGATTGGTCTTCACCTCAGCCAGTAGCCAATCAGTGGCTCTGTTGTGTCACTGTTTATTTGGTGGTAATGTTTTGAACTGATGATGCATGTGATTGATCTGGTGTCTCGTTAACCTCAGTGGAGTTGGTTGTTGTGAAGGATTTTTAACATGATTTGGGTTATTTTCATTTTTCTCATTCGTCAGCTTCTTGTTCTTCAGTCTGAATCCTGTTTCACCACATTGATGAAGCAGAAACTGTTTTCTGCTCCGTGGCTCAGACTCTGGACTCGATTGTAATCTGGATCTGTCTTCCTCTCTGGAGGTTAGGGTTAGGGCTAACCCTTATTGAGGAGGATGTCATGTTAACGTCCCTTACCCTTTTAATTCAACAGTGGGGTTAGAGTCCATGACAGTCGGAAGACTTTTTTAAAGAAACTGGGCTCCCGCTGCCTTCCTGTGTCCTAGGTCCTCTCCTTGTTTCCTTGTCTATATAAAATTTTAATCTTTTTATCCTCTTATTTTTTTTTTATTTCCTTTATTGTTATTTTAAATGGGGATATACACTTTTAACTTCTTATGAATGGTTTAAATAAAGAAAATATGCAAGTGCTTTTAACATTGATGGTCACCTTGTGCCAGAGTCCCTCGTAGTAATCTTAAGAGTTTTAACCCCAACCTAACCTTGTCTCTCTGCAGCAGGTCTGATTGAGACTGGAGGGTGTGTCTGGGTCATGGTCCTCACTGACTCATAGTCCTTTAAATACACAGTCCACAGAGCAGGGACAGGTCCAGAGCAGGGGCAGGTCCAGAACAGGAACAGGTCCAGAGAGCAGAGGCAGGTCCAGAGCAGGGGCAGGTCCAGAGCAGGGGCAGGTCCAGAGCAGGGGCAGGTCCAGAACAGGAACAGATCCAGAGAGCAGAGGCAGGTCCAGAGCAGGGGCAGGTCCAGAGCAGGGGCAGGTCCAGAGCAGGGACAGGCCCAGAACAGGGGCAGGTCCAGAGCAGGGGCAGGTCCAGAACAGGGGCAGGTCTAGAGCAGGGGCAGGTCCAGAACAGGAACAGGTCCAGAGAGCAGAGGCAGGTCCAGAACAGGGGCAGGTCCAGAACAGGGGCAGGTCCAGAGCAGGGGCAGGTCCAGAGCAGGGACAGGTCCAGAACAGGAACAGGTCCAGAGCGGGGGCAGGTCCAGAACAGGGGCAGGTCCAGAACAGGAACAGGTGCAGAGAGCAGGGGCAGGTCCAGAGCAGGGGCAGGTCCAGAGAACAGGGGCAGGTCCAGAGCAGGGGCAGGTCCAGAGAACAGGGGCAGGTCCAGAGCAGGGGCAGGTCCAGAACAGGGGCAGGTCCAGAGCAGGGGCAGGTCCAGAGAGCAGGGGCAGGTCCAGAGCAGGGACAGAGAGTGGATCTCCATGACAATTGTGTTTATCAGTGTTATTGATTAGTGTTATTAATGTGATCAACACAGCGTTTCCATGGTGATATCTGTAGGAGGAGCTCTGCTCAGTGATGACCTCTCTGACGTCGAACACCTCTGTGTTTGTCTTCAACACGTTCAGGTGAGATAGGGAGAAAAAAGAAACCTGATAAACAGATCTGCATTATGTAACACAGGAGGGAGAAGGAGGTGGCAGGGAGAGCAAAGAATCTTGGGAAACCAGGCGGTGAACGAGGCCTCGTCATGGTTAGAAGACACGTTTTGTTCTGTACTTAAGGTTCTAGCTGGAGCCACCAGGAGACGAGGATTTCAATCAGTGTTTCTGTTGATTTACAGGGATGATGATTTCCAGATTCTTTTTTTTTTTTTTTTATATATATATATGTTTTTGGGCTTTTTATGCCTTTATTTGATAGTGCAGTAGAGAGAGACAGGAAATGGGGAGGCAGAGAGAGGGGGAAAGCAAAGCAAAGGCCGTCCGATGCAGGACTCGAACCAGGGCCGACTGCAGCGAGGACTGTGGCCTCTACACATAAACCACTACGCCACACGACGCCCCGATGATTTCCAGATTGTCGTGGTTCTAAACAACAAATCCAAGATCTGGAGATCTGGCCTTTAAATCATTAATGTTTCAAATAATAATTCGCCTTACTTCATTAATTAACAAATAGAACAACAAATAGAGTAAACAATATTCAATCACACCATAATCCCAAATAAGAAAGAAGGGAATACAGTTTAAATTGAAGATGAAGAAAAAGACACAAGACGAACACCAGAACTCAGGAGGTGATGGGGTTTGATACAAAGAGGAAGTCCTCATCCTCCTTATCCTGTGTTTGTGAGGAGGGAGGAGGGATTTACAGGTGTGTCCCCTGTGGAGAGGAGGGAAGATCACTCTGTTGACATACATTGCAGATGGCGAACATTATATCAGTGAGAGTCAGGTGAGAGGACTGATGAACAGGTGACCTGCCTCTGTCCAGACGTAACAGAATCCAGCTCATGCATTAATGTTTTACATCTCGTTTGTTTAATCTGTAAAAAACTGCTCCATTAAACATGAGGCTACAGTCAGCAGCTGGTTAGCATAGCTTAATTTAGCTTTAGCATAGCATAAATGAAAATATGATTTTCTATGGAGTAAACAAATGTGATGTAACATGTTAATTTTTTAGCTTTAAGGGTGCTGGGAGGCTAAACAGAGCCAAGTTAGCAGTTCCCCTCTGTTTCCAGTCTTTATGCTAAGCTAAGCTAACCAGCTGCTGGCTGTAGCTTCATATTTAACGTACAGACATGAGAGTGGTTCAATCTTCTCATCCGACTCTGTATGAAAACAAATAAGAACAAAGCTTAAAGTTTGAGGCAAATAAGTTTAAAAAACCAAAGTGAAAATAACAGCTGATTGTTATTTTTATTCCTCCACCCAGCGGCAGCCATTTTGTTTTCAGGTTGTCCGTCCAGCTCATTCTCATGGACACGATATCTCAGTAACACCTTGATTGAACTCCTTCAAATTTGGCACAAACATTCATCAGGGCTCAAGGATGAACTGATTAGATTTTGGTTGTTAAAGGTCAAAGGTCAAGTTCAGTGTGACCTCAAAAAACACTTTTTAACCATTGTTGAAGTCTTCACAACAATTATGACAAAAGTCACACTAATGGTTTATATTTTCTATGACTGGATAAACAAGATGTGACCTGGAACTAGTCTGAGTTGAGGAGGAGAAGATTCTAGTTTAACCATAAACAACAATCTTGATATATATATATATATATGTGTGTGTGTGTATGTATGTATGTGTGCCTATATATAATGACCTGTTAGATTTGTTTTGTTGAAGAATTGAATTTAAAATACAAACTGAGCTAAATCAGCTGTTGACAAAGTTAAATTCTTTGGGTTTTTCTTTACAGAAGTTTGTTACTGATCAGGTGATCTATAGTCTGATATCAATATATCTTATAAAGTTATATCAGAGGATTTATCAGAGTAACTCTGAAGGCGAGTCCTTTAAAGTGTCGTGACACTTTTCAGAGGAAAACGTTCTTTCTCTTCCACAAACTTCAGTCATTCCTTCATGTCTGACGTAACTGCTGCAGAAATAGCTTCACAACCACAGAGAGGAGTGATGGTGTGTGTGTGTGTGTGTGTGTGTGTGTGTGTGTTTTTATGGGTTCAGGTTCCAGGCTCTGGTCCAAGAGCAAAGGGAGCTGGAGGAGACATTGTTCTGAGAGGGGGGGGGTGGGGTCTGTGATGCTGAAAGAGCTGCAGAAAATGAAAGAGAGGAAGTTGTGGGGGAACGAGAGGGCAAATAGAGTTTGGTGTATTGTGGGGGGGGGCGTGAGAATGAGAGCAGTCTAATGATCGTTGTTCAGAAGATGCTCATGATTCTTTCAAGGTGCCTCTTCACATGGTTAGTGGGTCTGCAGAGGGGCACAGTTAGCATGTTTGTGTGTGTGTGTGTGTGTGTGTGTGTGTGTGTGTGTGTGTGTGGCTTGTTTCCTCTGCAAGTTTTTACACAGTGAAGAGTTTTTTGCATTCAGTGGTCGTCTATCTGAATATTTTAGACTGAATCCAACATAGACATTTTATTATTATTGTTATTGTTGTTATTATTGTTTATATTATTATTTTTTATTAATAT